TGCTATATTGTTGGCAGTTTTTCAGTGAACATTCCAGTTCATATTAGTAGACAGATTAGGCAATTTGACAGGCTCAGAAGATCTGCATGGTGCCTTACATAAAACGTTTTTGTAGTGCTTATTGTAGCTGGGATGTCTTGCTTATTATGTGCTCTTAGTTTGTTTCTTTTCGAGTTCAGAGTGGTAGGTTTTTTTTATCCTCTGGTGGTTTGTAAGAACAAGTATGTAGGGTCTTCTAGTAGGTGGCAGGGCTTCACCTTGATCAAATTGATGTATCCATAAACACAGTTTTGGTTGTCGTTGTCAAATGAGTATGGAATTTGAAATTCAAAAAAAGCAGGACTTTCTGTGTGATAATGGTAGCTAACTGCATGTACTGTTTTTTTTTACCATTGCAGGTTTCATCTATCTATGTTGCTTATGCCACCAGCTTGCAGTTCTGTCACTTTGTGACACCAATATCTTGTCATTGTGTGTGCGGCAGAAACTATGTGGAATTTATTATTTTAATGATGTAGCAGCCAAGAAGGTTGCTTACAAAAAAATTATCTCGACAAAATAGTGGGAGATATTCATCACACAGATGATGAAGTTGATGGAAAGAAAAGACCATCCTAAAATGGACTAGATACATGTTAGTCCCGACTGTTAGCTAAGTGAGCTATGGGCTATTGTTTGTCAGTAGAATCTGAACATGATGATGGGAACTTGGGTGGAGAATGATTTCGATAAACGAAACTATAACCGACAAACTATAAGTGAACTCAATCTAAGTCACATTTTTGTAATACTTGCCTTTATTTAACATGTATATAGGTTAATTCCTGATAAAAAACTTTGATACAAAAACCAACTACGATTATGCTCGGGCATAAGCGAGACTAAGATCGTAGAGGCCACTACTGTTGGGGTTTCAACAAGGCGGGAGAAGCAGATGAGCTGGCTATGGACAGGGTTAGGGCAAAGATTAGGTGGGGGGTAACAACCTAGAGGATTGGTGGATCGAGAGCAAGTTATTTTATAGAGAATAACACTATCTAGATTAGTTTTGATGCATGCAAATCAAAGACATACTAATGAACGACAACAATTTTACTTTCTCACACATTTTTATATGATTGTTGACCATCAATTTTGAACACAGTATTTGGTGATTTTTATCCTTCCATATTATACCAATTGATAAATTCCTTAAAGTTTTTAATTACTACTTCATTGCATAATTACTTAGTTTCGTTTGGAGCTCATAGACAATCAAGTTAATGATATCGACTCTTATAAATAAGTACCTTTCAAGGCAATTCAAGATGACAACAAGTGCAATATTTTCTTCTAAAATACCAAAAAATATACAGACAACAATAAGTTAGGATGCTTTTATCAACTAAAATATCTTTGAACTAATTACCGCTAATGCCACAATTAACACGTAGGACAAAAATGACTTTGAAATCATGAATCAACTACTTAGAATACCCCAAATTATTTTAAAATGTGATTGAATTTTTTTGTTGGTCGTTGACCTCAAATTTGAATTTTCTCATCCCCACTAGACCATATCCTAAAATAATATGAATGAATTTAATTATGTTAAATAAAAATAAAAGAATTTGGAATAAAACTCCCTGCACAAGTTTGGAATAAGTCGTCTTACACCTACATGGATCAATAAAAATATGAATTAATTATCACTAATATCACAAAAATTAATTTCAAATTGTAAATAAATTATTTCAAAAATTTCAAAAAAATTAAAATATAAACAAAATGATTAACATAAAAAAATAATAAATATAATAATTCATCCGACCCACGGATTAGGTAAAAGCTAAGTTGGATGAGAAGCTTAAATTGAGAAAGTCATGGAATCTTGAACGAGAATGGGGGCACTGTTGGTGGGATTTTTTTAAATAAACTAAAATAAATTGAATTTTATAGTTAATTAAAAATTAAAATGAATAACACATATTTTAGTAATTTTGTAGCAATAAATTCATAAATTCCATGTAATGTAAGGAAGATGTGTCGGTTGTACTTATTGGAGGCGTGTCGGAAGTATCTAATTATAATTTTTTATGCCGACGAAACATAATTCACTCACAAAATTTTAAGGCGGAGGTGTGTCGGTCGACACAGCTCTTTACTATCTAGGTCCGCCCCTGATTGGTATGATATAATAGTAAGATAGTATTAAGTTTTATCTTTGAGCACAAAAATTGATGTCATCTTATCAGTTTCATATCATGATATCATATTTTCATATCATGATATCATATTATTATATCATGATATCATATTATCATAGTGATAATATCATGATATGACAATGTGGTATGATAGTGTTACCTATAGTATCATAGTTGTAAGATCATGATATGACAGTGAAGCACAAAATGTGTTTTTGAATGAATAGTTATTATTTTGCTTAAAACATAATAAAATGGATATCATTGAGTAGATCATAATTAATGAGTTTTTTCTATAATTTTCTTTTAGATTTTGAGTTAAAACTAAAGAGATATATCATCATGGCACTATCATATCATGATGGTATGATAGTGATACTACTATGACCAAAGCGTGTTTCGAAAAGTTAATTTTTATTTTGCTCAAAATATATAATAATAAATATCATTATGTTTATCATAATTAAGCATTTCTATGCAATTTTTTAAATTACGAATTAAAACAAGTGAGATATGACATGATTAAGGAAAACTAGGAAATTAGAAAAAGTAATGTTTGATTGTGTCTTCTCTCATTTGGATTTGTATCAGTTAATAATAATAATAAAAAAGACAGAGAGGTAAAGAATTCCCAGTCTACCCTCCTTATTTTTTATTAGTTGTGGGTCATTAGATCAAATTTCATTGGATGTCTATAGATTAAGAGTTTCTAAGATCTTGTATAATATAGTTTAGTACCGATCATCTCACATATTATATTACAAACCAACAATGAATCCAATTATAAAAAGTATTAAAATACATTATATGAAAAAAAAAATTAAAGCAAAGAAAAACTTGTTTTGCCAATGTAGTCAAAGTTTATATTCTATGTAAAAGTAAAATTATGGGTAAAAGCGGAGGCGTAAAAGCGTAAGCTTTCTAATATTATATGAATTTGATAGGCATTTTCTAATCATAACTTTTATTTTAAAAAATATATAAAAAATAAGCGAACTAGCTCATATATTAAAGACCACTCTCACACACATAAATTAAATTAATAGACTTTTAAACAAGTATCCACTGCTTTTCTCCTTCTTTCAAGAAAAAAATATGAGAAGTGTTGTAGGCAACCTTCACTAGTAAGTGAAAGTGGTGGCAAATGGGAGGTTGATGAAGATGAGCTTAAACAAAATTGTAGTCATAGGGGTGGGATCTGCAAGGATGGAAAGGACGTTGGCGGCAGGAATCTGGATGGAGAGAAAAAATGAGAAAGAAGAAGTGGGAATGAATTAGGGATGATGAATTTGTAGAAGAGAAGACTGAAAGGATAATCCGACTTAAAAAATTTCATTTTTCTATTTTGGCTAGAAAATTTGAACCAACCAGACCCAATATGGTAGTCGGTGCTGTCAAGAACCAGTTGATCCTAATAACTCGAGTTGTTGGGAGAGGTTCAATCTTGGATCATATACCATTCACTAACACACCCCCTCAAACGAAAGCCAGTCACCTCATAAGGGATTTCGTTTGCACAGGTCTGAATACATGATACCATGTGCTTCACAAACGGCGGTCATCGGGATTCGAACACAAGACCTTTCGATCACATAAGGCTCTGATACCATGTCAAGAACCAGTTGATTCCGATAACTCGAGTTGTTAGGAGAGGTTCAATCTTGGATCATATACCATTCACTAACAGGTGCAACAGTTTGTTCCAGAGAAAGACTGCATCGTACCAAGCCAACATCGAGAACAGACAAAACTGACGAAATATAATGCAGTCTAATTCTTGGTCTTATGAATTCTATAAATACTGAAGGAAAATTAGATTGGTTCATATTTAGACCAGACAAAACCGGATCACACTGGACCGAACGTAATGTTGGTCCAGTCCTTGGTCCCAATTTTTTTTACTTTGCTATGTGGTCCTCAAGGTTTGATTTGGTACAGACAATTACACACTCCTTTAATATTGTCATAATACTTGAATATCAAAAGTCTAAAAATGAGGTTTAAAAGCTATCTTCTAAACCTTTTACTAGGCTTGAGAGCTTTTACTTGGGCTTTTAGTGCATAAAGCTTTCTTTAACAAAAAGCTACAATTTTGAGGGGTCCAAAGCGTAAAAGTTTAGGTTTTAAAGATAGCTTTTGACTGCATTGTCTTTCCCATGAAAACCCCTCTAAGTGCAATACGTTTCTCTCACCCTTACCAAACTTGCAGTAGCCGGTTATGATGTGCGGCACCGGTTAGGACTGGCACTATAGAATTTCCCATCAAACAAAGTTAAACTGACTCAGTTTGTTCTTTAAGTTAAGAGGTTAAATTGAATCTCTGCTCTGTGTATGGATCGTGGTTATATGACTCTCTGGAATATTAATTTGAAAAGATGAATAAACTCTTTTAATTTGTTGAATTGGGCTCGATAGAATGTCCATATTCAAACCCCAATCTATATTGTTAGGAAAAGAAAGAATTTTGAAATAATCTCTTACATCCAAATTGAGAAATTATAGTTTTCTTATCGTAGAAATAATTAGGATAAACTAGATAAATGGTTTCCCCGCAACTATTACAACAATTTTACATATTCAGATAAGACATGTGAAGTCAAAATAAAAATAACAAGATATAGGTTTACGATCAGATAAATAAATTAATAAGATGCTTATCTTGATCGACCTTGTAGATTAGTGTTGAAATAATACAGGAGTACAATAAATAAGACAAGTATGTTGGAAGAATTGGCGATTTTATCTCGCCCCTATATATACCAAACTCAAAGTGACTAAATTTCTAAATTCCTTCTCTTTTTTCATTCTCATTCTTTCCACTATTTTATCTCGTCTTTCTTTCCATCAAAGGAGACGGAGAGAAAGAAAGAAAACTATCAATTTTCTTTTCTAATTCAATTGCTTCTCCATCTGAAGATTCAGATCTCAAACAAACTCGATCAAACATTTTAACCATCACACAATTCCTTGAAAGAAAGAAAAAAAGAAAAATAATTTTTCTACTTTCCTCCTGGTTGAAAAAAGAAGACGAATAGAACAATCACAAAGATTGACAATGGCAACAGTGTCCCCTCTCGCCAAGTACAAACTTGTCTTCTTAGGCGATCAGTCCGTAGGAAAAACCAGCATCATCACTCGCTTCATGTACGATAAGTTTGACACCACTTATCAGGTCTGGTTTTTTTATAACCTTTTTTCTATTGCGCTTATTTTATATTTGAGTTATATTTGTCTGTCTATAGTGTCTGCCATTAATCTATACACTACATATACGGTTGTTCTTTCCTTAAGAAGCTATTTTCCCAATTTCTTGTTTCTCTATTTTGAATATAGTTTGTTGCTTATATTTCAGGCTACGATTGGAATCGACTTTTTGTCAAAGACAATGTATCTCGAAGATCGAACTGTTAGATTGCAGTTGTGGTAAGTTGTTTGTTTTAATTTCTAAGAATGACGTATGCAATTGATATGGTTTATGATGAGTATGATTCCTCATTAAATATGGAACACAAGAAACAAGTTAGAGGCTCGATTATAAACTTCTACAACTGGGATTCTTGAAAATATTACTTAAACTGGATGTGCCATGACCAACAATTGTTCAAAGCATGAATGAGGCACTAATGATTTTATGTTGTTATAAGATTTTCACTATTTTGGTTGTGTGATTGTTGAGTTTTTAGGAATATTAAGTCGATTCTCGAATATGGGCTTAGGGCTAATCTTAATTTTGTAGCTTTTAGTGATTTTTTTTACGTATGGTTAATATATGAATTTGTTGATTTATTTTTTTACAGGGATACAGCTGGACAAGAGAGATTTAGGAGTCTTATTCCTAGCTATATTCGAGATTCTTCTGTTGCTGTCGTAGTATATGACGTAGCCAGTGAGTTAACTTAACCTTTTTATTACACATTCTCGTATAATGAAATACATCATCTGACTAGATCATTGCTCATGTATAGTGAGATAGCCAAATAACTATCCACTATAGAAAAGTAAGGGAAGGGGTGGAGGAGATTTGACTAGATCATTGCTCATGTATAGTGAGATAGCCAAATAACTATCCACTATAGAAAAGTAAGGGAAGGGGTGGAGGAGATTTTGTATGTACAAAGAAACCCTAACCTACTTCTGTGCTTTAACTTGAGAAGTAAAAGTGTACTATGTTCATCGATTTCTCTTACTAATCAAATTAGATATAATGTTCAACTAATTTGGGCAAAGAAAGGTCTACATGTTCCCTTGTCTACAAGCACTAGCTTTTTACCCGGCCCGTTGGCCGGAGAGATTTATTTTATAATTTATATGTTTAAATCATTTTGGATCTTCTAAATATTTTATAACAGAGTTTTGTAGTATGTTTATATTGAAATTTCCAATATTTAGCACACTCACTTGTGATGCTTCGGTTTTTGAATCATAAATTATGCCGTTGTCACGTCCCATTTAGAACTTATGTCAAAATTTGTCAACCAAAACACTAATATTTAGCGTACGCCAACCTGAACAACACACATATATATAGTTCAAGCTAGCGTGCGCCAGGAGTACGCTATACTCTTGTGTTCATACTACCATACGACCATTAAGTTTTATTATTTAGACCCGAATTAACCGGAGTTTTTTGGGGCATGATACCATACCCTAATCTCTAATAGGTGAACTCTAGTCCCTAATTCTATAACCTCTAATTTATGCACATACTTCGTAATGCCTATCTTCTATCGTATCTTGAGTTAAATAAAGTATAGTATACATTGATATTACATATATATGTGTGTGTGTGTATATGTACATTAGACTCGAAATTATCTAGAGATCTCACGTTTATCCCCATAACGGCAGACAACCATTGGGGTTGTCTATCGTTCGATATGTAATATATAAAGAGGCAAATACTAAGATCCTACTATTTATTTCTTATCCTCTCCCGCCGTCCCCTTTTTGGAGAATAAAAAGGTAGGGATGACAGGATCATAGTTCAATATGGTTTTATTATGTTCATCGTATCGGAGGTTATGTTCTTTTTTGCTTTTTTGGCTTCTTTTTCATTCTACTTTATCACATGTGATTGTGATAAGAGGTATTTATCCCTCGAAAAGGGTTGGGATTTTAGGTCCTTTGAAAATCCAATACACATTAATGATCCTCGAGTTTGGATGAACTCTCGACCAATGTTGTAAAAATTATGACTTTTTAGTGGGAAATTCTTAGTAAAGATACTTCATTATTGGATTTATTCATCCATATTGAAACTTGACATACACCGTAGCCCTCATGATGACTAAATTCTCTAATATCGACTCATTTTCATTTTGGATGTTTGTTTTTTTATCCAGACACTTAAATTTAGTATATTATACAATATGTATCAATTGTTAATTCTTGAAGTTTATACTAAACCTCAACCGGTGGTCATTGTTTATATGTTGGCTTAGAATCTCAATCTAAGACACTCACACACACTATCGAGGATTTTGGTCTTAACATGATCGTTGAATGTGTAATTTTCAAATATTTTATCACTTATATATTAATAATTGATAAAGAGTGTCTCCAATACACATATTTTAAGTGCATTTAAAATGTCTTATCATGTGAGCACTATCAGTGTATTTCATTTGATTATTTGCATTAACTTATTATCTTATACAACATATATTAATTCGTGTTTCTCGAGTCTAAACGAACTGACAACCAATTTTGAGAGTTAAGATTATTGGATAAAGATACTTGATTGTTGGATAAATATGTTTATCCCAATTGACGATCTTACTAAAAATTGTCAACCTTTATTTGGTAAATGCCTAGGTTAGTAGTTGATGAAACGTGATGTTTATCGTAGATTCTGAACAAAGATTTTTCTAACCTTCACATCTATTATTTTTCAAGGAATTTTGTGTCTCATCCTAGGGTATGAAGTCAAAGATCGTCAACAATCATATTAAGTCATTTTGAAAATTTTGATTTATAATCGTCGAAGATAACTCCAAGTCTAAAAGAAAATTTCATAGCATACGACTTAGAACTTCAATAGAGCTTGCTCAATCAACAGGATATAGAGCAAATATTATTAATGTGAACTTATGTCACATTATCAAATTATTGCATATGCGATTCCTCTTCATTTGAGGAATTTAAGGTAGAACATGATCTGAATGAATAAATTTTTTTTTAAAATAAATAACTGTAACTACTCGATCAAGATTATACTCTGACATTTTGCTAAATAATACAGTTTTATTTTATAGATATATACTGTACGAATAAGAGAGTGTTTCATTGTAACAAAATATAAGTAATATAGTTTATTTTTCAAAGGTAATTGAATATCAAATGTTTATTTTCTCTCTTTTCATATATATTTTGGTTTAATCGATTAAAACATAATTGTTTATATGTATGTTTGTTTATTTTTTTATCAAAATGTAACTTATCATTGAATTTTAGTAAAATGAGTAGAAAATTTATTTCATAAGGTTTAATCAGATATATTTTATTTAAATAAATGTGATATATGTCACTCTCTGATTTCTTATTTATATTTTGTTTATTTAACAAAAAATTATTATTTATGTGTGTTTGGTTAAGTTTATCAACATGTAACTTATTATTAAAGACAAAAACAATTAATGGATAAATGAAAAAGAATAATTGGATAAAAGAAATGGAAATATTAAAGAAGAGAGAGGTAGCTCCATAAATACATTAATAACTAATTTTTTGTTTGTAAAAAAGTTGTCCAACTTGGCAAATTGTGGATCCTCCAAGTGCTTATGTGGCAAGAAATTTTTTGTGAATTGCCATAATATATAGTATACATGCTCCTAAAAGACATGTTAAATTCATGGTCCTTCTTGAAATTAGGGAAATAAATGGGGTAGATTAAAAGTTCGTGTTCGGTACAAGTAAATTCATGATTATATAATGTTTTCTTTAATTATTGTTTTAGACAGGCAATCATTCTTAAATACTTCTAGGTGGATTGAAGAGGTACGAACAGAACGAGGGAGTGATGTTATCATAGTGCTCGTTGGCAACAAAACCGATCTCGTTGAAAAAAGGTAGGAGAAGTGGTGAAACACCCTTTCCGTATTTGAAGACATAAAAGATAAACATATAGGCAAGTTTTGATCTTGTTCATGATATGTTGTTTTTGTGATTGGATTCACCAACCAGGCAAGTGTCGATAGAGGAAGGAGATGGCAAGGCTAAAGACTTTGGAGTTATGTTTATAGAGACTAGTGCAAAAGCAGGTTTCAATATCAAAGTAAGAAAGAGGTTTCGTTTACACTTACATTTTTAGTAACAAAATGGTCAAAAAAAGAATATGTGTACGGGAGAATTAACAGAAAACAAATGAATTTGATAAATTTGCAGCCACTTTTTCGCAAAATTGCTGCTGCATTGCCAGGGATGGAAACCCTTTCTTCGACAAAGCAAGAAGATATGGTTGATGTGAATCTAAAGCCTACCGTGAATTCATCTCAAGCTGAGCAACAAGGAGGAGGATGTGCTTGTTAAAAATGTATTTTCCTAAAATGAACATAAAATGACATGAAAATAGATAAAACCATACATTTGGAGTTTATAGAGTTAAATCCTAAAATTTTTAGTAGATCACAAAAATGTTCTCAGGCATACAATCAATACATGATTTTCTCACCGCGACAACAACCAATGATCATCTTGTTAAACATTAACATAATCAATTTACCCTGTTTTCTATAACATCTCTAATACTTTCTCATTCTTAGAACTAGAAAGTAACTTACATGGCTAACTAGTAAAATGGCCATTCTCGTCAATATCGCTTCCTTTTTTGTATAAAATTAATGCATTAGTATTCATAATAATCCGATAATAAAAAGTATATCTGAGTCTAACTAGTAAAATGGCCATTCTCGTCAATATCGCTTCCTTTTTTGTCTAAAATTAATGCATTAGTATTCATAATAATCCGATAATAAAAAGTATATCTGAGTCTCATTGGGATATGTAAATGAGTAAATCAATTAAGATTTTGTTTTATATTGATAAGTCCTTACAATTACTATATTATCACATTGGTTTTGAGACCATTAGGGGCGAGCTGGTTAAACGTCAACCCCTAGACAGTAGATAGTAATATGCGATCATCATGAACTCTTGTATCTAGAGTGGAAAGTTGCATGAAAGGTTATTCCACGACCAAATTGGCGAAAACGTCAAGTGGGCTGTCATCTGGGAAATAAAGAACATGGTCAGGAGACGTCTTCAAATAGAATAGAGTGCAAATAGCTACATCCATATGAGCTTGCGAAGGATCATGGACGAAGAAACTCAAAATGTTGACCGTATAGGAGATGTTAGGACGAGAGATGGTGATAAAAGAAGAGACCCGCCAAATGATGATAAGAAGAACCATCAATAAGAGGACTAAAGTTGGATCTGGTGAGTTGATGATTACGCTCAACCAAAAAAGCACGAGGGAGAGCATCGAGGACCCCTGCCTCCTCAAGAATATGTAAGACATATTTTCGCTGAGTGAGAATGATGCCACAAGGAGATCTAGAAACTTCAAGGCAAAGGAAATGCTTCAACGGCCTCAAGTGCTTGATGTTGAATGATCATCGAGGAACCTTTAGACGTGAGTGATAAAATCCAAATCATTTTTGGCTAAGAGGACGTCATCGACGTAGATGAGAGCCAAAATGAACGTGGCGCCCTTGTGAAAAATTAACAAGGTGTGATATACAGGAGAAGCTTGAAAACCAAGCTAACACAGAGCAGATGTGAATTTATTATACCAATTTTGAGGTGCCTGCTTAAGACCATAGATAGACTTATAGAGATGAAAAGCATGATTATCAGTTTATCACCTTTAGCAACAAAGCCATGAGGGATATTCATGTGAGCTTCTTCCTTAAGATCCACATGGATGAAAGCGTTATTCACATCAAGTTGGTGAATAAACCATCTATGAATGGAAGCTACAATAATAGGACCATAAACAACGAGAAGCGTTTGATGGGAGCAAAAGTATCATGGTAATCCACACCTTCAATCTAAGTGTAACCTTTTGCAACAAACCGAGCTTTATATTGCTCATTGCTACCATCATGTCAATATTTAATCTTAAAAACCAATTAGAGCTCAAGGCTCCAGGTTCCATTGATTTTGAGAGCATGAATTTCGTGTTCATATCGTCCCTCCAACAAGAATACCTCACGCTTTGAGAGAAGCTTTGAGGATCAATGTCTCGAGCGATCACAATAAGGAAAGCTTGATGTTGAGGACTATGACTTTCATAAGAAACATAGTGGGACAACCTGTAGTAAACGTGTGAAGCATTGTGCAAGTACATTTCGTAGACATCAAGGTATGGAGGAGGTCATTTGTGACATGGAACATGACCGATTTTGGGAGACAACTGAGCTGGAGTAGGTGTCTTATTGACCTCACTAAGAGGAGCCATAGGAATAGGAGTGAAGGGTGATCATGGTGAAGACTGTCAAGCAAAAGTGGCATCTCCAAGTTAAGACGACTTAGTATCGCCTTTAGGAGGTGAAGTCTCGACAACAGGTTAGTCTTATGAAGAAATTTGGGATGAGCACTATTTGGTATGGACATCATCAAACAGACTTGAGAGGGACCCATCCATATTAGTTGAATTTGAAAGGAAAGGCGACAATACATAATGGAACTCCTATGGGTCTTGAGTATGGGAAGGAAAATATGTCTAATGGAAGATGACTTCACGCGACACATGTACCTTGCGAGTGAGAAGATCATACACTTTATAACCCTTTTTGTGTACCTACATAGCCTAAAAAATGTCAGCAAACTTCTAAAGTGCCCCATGATTATCTTTAACATAATGGAGACGATCAAATGATCAGAGATGAGAATATAATAAGGCGTAGGTTTTCCAAAGGCGAGCTCGTAGGGTGTCTTATTTGTTGTCATGTTGGGCAATAGGTTGATGAGGTTGACCGTAGTGAGTACACACTCACCCCAAGAATGCAAGGGGAGTCATGCATGAAAACGTAGTGCCTTAGAAGTCTCCAGGATATGCCTATGCTTACGCTTAACAACCCCATATTTGTTGGGGGATTATTGTTACAACTAGTCTGCAGAATAATATAAGAGCTCTCATAGTAGTCACGCATAACTACAGTTTGAAACTAAACTATTGTCGAACTAAATGCGTTTAACTTTCTTCCCAAATTGTGTAACAACCATTTCAAAGAACATAAGGAGATAACGAGAGACCTGACTTGCACTTCAAAAGATATACCAAAACTCCACGACTAAAATCATCAACAATTTTTAAGAAACAATGCACTCCGCTAAGTGACAAAGTTCGGTATCCACCCCAAATGTCAATATGAATTAACTCAAAAAAATCAGAAATCTCAATCGACTAAGCTCAAGAGGAAGTAGACTTTGTTTTGCATGGGAATTGAATGAGACAAGCCATGTTCCTTGATGCACATAACTAAAATAAATGAACGTAAACAAGAAAAATTTAACAAGGAAGGATGTCCAAGACGGGGATGCCAAACTTCCTCAGAGATAGAGTGTTGACCACCGACAACAACACACAAAAGACTCCTTTCTCTCAAACAACTTGAGGTAGTAGAGCCCATTACGGGGAATCCACTTCCCAATCACGGTCCTAGAGTATGCATAAATCACAAAAGAATATAAGTGTGTCGTCGTTGTCTTGAGTTCATTTCTTGTCAAAAGAAAATCTTGAGTTCATTTGAGGAATGACAAAAGATTGCACTTAAACTCTTACACATGCAAGATGCTTTCCAGTTAAAATCAAGTTTGTGTGTGCCAATCTGTTCAACAGGAACACTTTCATCATTCAGAATCCTCACACGTTGATGATCTTGTCTAGATAACTCAACATTCAACAAGTGGGTATCCTTGGTGATATGCTCGTTACAACCCGAATTGATAACCATTCAGAATCAGTAATAATTGACTGAATTGCTCTTTCAAGTCGACCCATACTTCTCTAGTTGTCTTTGCGTATCAAACAATGTTGTGAACTTCTAGATAACCAATTTTTCATCCAATGTCTTTAATCTGTAGAAAAACATACCTACATTCATGTGGTAGAGGCCTCTGGACACGAATCTCATCCATGCTTCTCGAATTGAGCTCCAAAGTAGGCTTCACAAACACGTTTCCAGAGACATTTTCAAGCAGTTTCCCAATTTTGGCGTAGCCTTTTGATCAGGTTCAAAAATGGTCTTATGGACTTTCTATCGAGCTCCCATGTACTTCAATGTGTAGAGAGTCACTCCAGCTTCAAAACAAGCCATTAATCTCCAATTTCCATCGAGCCAATTGTAAGATATGAATCTCCAAAGTATGCACCATGAATTTTTTTTACACAAACAATAGATTAGGTCGACCTAATCCTAAACGAGGTCGACCGAAAAGTGCAAGTTACGGTGACTTGCAAGTCACCGTAGCAAAGTCTTAAAACTTAATAATAACTCATAGTTAACCCTTAACATAAATACGAGAAAATAGTATAATTATCTTACTACCATTAAGAGTAGTCTTCTAACAAAATTATATACAAATGATATGTGAGTAATCAATTGAGTATGTCTGTGTGAATTATCTTAGTCTCTTAGTAGTTAAAAAAGGCTGGAAACACCTTTGCTTTAAGGTTCTCATCCAACATAAAGTATGGGCTTTATCTAAATTACGAGCTCACACTACAAGAAAACAGGGGTTTAGTGTCGGTTGTATAGTGTCACTTCATTTAACTCACACTAAAAATCTATTTTGCATTCGAGATTGTGTCGGTGAAAGGCCTGACATAGTTTTCTTGCGAGTTTGCGTCGACTAAATTTAACCGACACAATTTTCAGCATATTTGCGTCATCTTTTTCTGTAACCAATACATTTTTTAGTTGCTTCAGTTTATGTACTGACGTGGAATGAGAGGAAAAAATAACTCTTTTCCCCATTTTGTCTCTACTTTTTACCTTTTAGGTGGGAAAAAATATTTTGTCCACCATTAAAATCCCTTCTCACCCACCATGTTTGTTCTTTCACCTCTATCTTCTTCTTGTCTTCTTTACCCTCTTGTCCTCCGTTAAAGGACAAAACCACATTCCTTTTACTTATCCCTCATTCTCTGTCTTCTTCCTCATCCTCTTCAATAACTAGTGCACTTTGGAGGCTGGCGATGTGAGCCATGTCTACCCCAATGTTGTCACTGTGGGTACCCAAAACATTTGAGGACTAGTTGGACCGATGCAAATCCAGGGCAGAGGTTCTATGGATGTAGCAAGTTTGGGGTAAGATTATTTGAATCTCTCTTCCTTTCATGCAAATATATATGAATGGACCTTCTGCTTTGTAGCTTCGGACCATTCGACTCTTTCATTGTGCATTGTTATGTAACAACCAACCACAAAATCATATACCCTAAGTTTTACCCTACCAATTGCTTGAATGACATGCTCACAAGGGATATCGGTTAACTCACACCTTCTACAAATACAAGTCTTGTCTCTCAAATTAACTACAAGTTGCTTGTTGTGCCACCTTACCTCAAACTCATCATTGTCATTTGATTCAGCATCCCACTTAAGAGCTTCTTGGCTCAATCGTTGGAGTTTTTTTCTCAATATTTATACACAAATGACCAACCCACTTATTTACCCATCATCATCTACATGCATATAACAACATCAGTTCCTCCTA